GAATATTTTCAAGAGATCCAAATCAATGATATTTAGATAGTTTAGATTGGTGATAAGATTACAGCTAAGAGTTGGCTTCTTGCAACCTACTAATTAGAATACTCTCCCTCTCGCGATATGATAGATGAAAATCTAACAATGTTTGGGGTCTATAAATTTTCTTCATTTATATACTTTCAGGGCAGATTGTTGTGCAATAAGGCCAAAATGAGGGAAAAAAGAGTACGATGTTTTTTTCTGACACCTTCATGATATTGTGCTGGAACTCTTTGTTTAGATGTGAAGAAAGTAATGGGTATGGTTATACTCTACGCTTAAACATAAAAAACTGCCTTATAAGTTTTTTTATTCATGCAGGTTTTGTTATCTACACATTTTGTTGTACAATACACATACTTGGATTTTCCCCAGCCAGTGCTATTGGACAAAAAAACCCTGAAGTGTAAGACTAGAAAATATAACTTTCTCCCATCTAATATCCTCCAGGACTACTCTGGTTTTCCTCAGTCAGTGTGCCAGATTGACTGCAGACAATGAGAGATGTAGTCCAATACATCTGATGGGCACATGTTGAAAAAGACTGTTCTATACCTCATTATTTCTGAGAGTTTAGGGATATATGAAAAGAATATTGGTTCTTCTTCTGTTAACTCGCTTTTAGCTCTTGATTCTTTGTACTATTCAAATATATATTCAAAGCTTTCTTGATATATCTCATTTTCATCTGTATATATATAAGTACCATGATTTTGCAAAAAAATGAGATAATACATTGATCTAATTGTGTGAAAATATTTGATGTTCTTGCAAAAATTGAAAATGTTATTTGGGAATACCTCATGAATAACTCGGAAGTAAATGTACATATGCTGTCATTTGGTTCATTGTTGGCATTATTTTCTTTATCTAATTTTAAATATGTTCTCAAGTGTGATTAAAAAAAACTGCTGAGCAAAAGTAGGAAAGAATCAGTTCAATGGTGTTGTAATTCAAAACTTGCTGTATGTTTTATCCCTCTATCCTGCCTTAGAATGTGCCTTAGCTGGTAGCTGTGGAGGTAAATTAGAATGTCTGATCTAAAACATAATAATGAAATAGTTTATCAACTCATGCATATAATTCCAATGACAAAGTTACCTTCTATGAATAAGTCAGTATTCCTCATTAAAGGAAATATTTTCCATTTGGGTCAGTCTCCCTAAATCTGTCTCTTTGAACAAAAAGTTTTATTGATTTTAACAACAAACAAAAGCACATAAAATATAAAAGTATCATCCTCCTTCATAAATTTACAGACAGTGTATCGGTTGGTTTACCACTTTTTTTTGTGCATCCATTTCTTGGTCTCCATTGTAATTGTATTAAATAATAACTCATATCATCAATCAACAATTATATAGCCTGATATCATTATTAAACAATCATTTGACTATAATTTTATTAATTCATACTTTAACGAGATAACTATAATTTACTTAATTTATTTTATAACAAATCATAAAGTCATACCAAGTCTATCTTAATAAAATTTTATAAAAATAGTATCAAAGAAAGAAAGAAAAAAAAGTTTCTAAATATTCTCCCTAAATCTGTCTCATTGATCTTCTATAGATAGTCCTTGACTTATAACAATTGGGAGAAGAATTTCCACTGTTAAGCAAAGTAGTTGTTAAGTTGTGCCTGATTTTATGACATTTTTTGCCATAGTTAATTGAATCACTGCAGTCGTTAAATAAATCCAGCTTCCCCTCTTGACTTTGCTTTTTGGAAGCCAGCTGGGAAGGTTACAAATGGCAATCATTTGATCCCAGAACACTGCAACTGCTACATGCCACGCACTCAAATTTTGATTGTGTGACTATGGAGATGCTGTGATAATCATAAGTGTGAGGACCAGTCATAAGTCACTTCTTGCTCTGCTGTTGTAACTTTGAATGGTTGCTAAATGAATAGTTGTGTTGAAGACTGCCTGTATTTCTCAGCAATAACCTATCTGTTCTATCCTTTCTTCTGTCTGTTTGACAAAATAAAGGATAACAATAGCTACCCAACAAAGTCTCCCTGCTTGCACCTCTTCATAGCATAAACATGTCATGGCTTTATCTATCTATCTATCTATCTATCTATCTATCTATCTATCTATCTAT